TTAAATCATTGCATTGACTACATACAATATTTATATTACTCATCATTTAATTGCTTATGTACTCATTACTACTTAACTTATTTATCTACATCTTAACTCTCCTGGCTAAATTATAGTCTGGAATTAAATTGAATAAAATAACTTTGCTATTGAAGTTGAATCATATTAAATATACTTCTGACTGCCCAGTGTCTTAAATGTAGTTGATTTTTTTGTGTTAAATTACTGAGAATATAGCTGTTAAGAGAAATGCTATTCATCCCCACTGGGGATGGATAGCATTACTCTTTCAATAAATAAGGATTATCCGTTAAGTTTGATTGCTTCAATCTCTAAGATTTAATTAGGCTAAAAATCTCTTATCAAAAGTCAAATTTTCTTAATCAAATGTTTGTGACTTAACCAAAGCATTTTGTGCGTTTTCTGTTTCATGCACTTGATTTTTCTGAATTTTTTTCTTTTTTTTAAGGATAATAATTTTTTTCTTTATTTGAAGCATTCTCTCCTTTAAACTTTCTAAATGACCTGTGTAACAAGTTTTCGGACGATGAATTTCAAGTCAGATGACCATAGGGCACCAGATTTTAAAGACTTTTGCAAGCTTAATTGCTCAAGTTATAAATGCTCGAAGAGAAATTTTTTAATAAAATATTTTTTTATGCATTGATTAGTGTAATGTCCCCCATTTAACACCAATTCAAGTAAAACGACTTCTAACTTGAGATTTTCACCCAATTACATTCTATTGACTTTAAACAATCCACACAAGATTTTAATTTCATACATGGAATCCCTATTTATTTCAACATCTTCCTACAACAGTGAAATCCTCCCCCAAACTATTCTAAATTTGGTCCAAAAATGTAAAATTTAATGGTTTGGGTTTAACATCTATGGTCCACTATTTCAACATATCCAATTATGAAATCAACTCATTCACACACAATACTTAACTTAATTTATGTGCTCAATATATATCAAATTTCACATGAAAAAGCAAAAATTAATTTGAGCATGCAACTTATTCACCATTCATAGATCAATTCATGATTAATATATACATCATTTCTAACCAAGCCAACTAACTCACAAGCACATAAAAAGAAAATACAAATAAAAAGAAAATATTTTTATTATATATTTTTTATTTTTTTACTAAAGTAATAAAAATACACAAAACACATAAAAATAAAAACTCATGTTTTCTACCCCCAAACTTAAACTAGATATTGTCCTCAATGTCTTCAATTTTAAATTCGCATATAAAGGAGTGTGGAAGAAAGTGAAGAAAAGACTTACCTGATATGACTTGTAATTCAATGGTTATCTTTCCTATTGCTTACCTTGACTCCTTGATCAATATTGATTTAAATGTTCTGCGACGTCTGTTCTAGAAAAATAAAATAAAACATTAAGATCAAATAATTGGAATATGTGTTACTTAACTCTAACATCTAATAAACCAACTAACTCATCAAAAACCTAAAGGGAAATAGAGTATGGATGATGAGTCCCAAGAAAAAAACTTACAATAAACTAAACTATCCTAAAACTCAAAAACAAAATAAATAAAAAAGGAAAAAAAAAAGCTTGGGTTGCCTCCCAAGAAGAGCTTTTTTTATAGTCTTTATCTAGACTTTGGCAATTGAATCACGGGCACTTAAAGAAGGCTTTGGATGCCTTGTCCATTTTCCTTCATTTGGCTTTGATTCGCTTTTCATTTAGTCTCCAAACTTCTACATTGTATTTTTCGATGTAATAGGACTTTTCCATTTCATGTGATTCAATTTCAACTATGTAGACTTCCACTCCTACATCGAGCTTAATCACAAAATCAATTTGTGGACAATCAATAAAGTCGAAAAAATTTGAGTTGATTTCATTCTCATTGATTGCCACATCCTCATTTGATTTCGTTGTAATCAACATGTCATTCTCTTTAATCCCTTCTTCCATAGTCGATATATCTTCGGATTGAATTATCGATCCACACTCTAGATCTACAGACAATGAGAAGTCGGTCCCTTTGACTCCTTCGAATGGATTGTACACCCATTGTTGAAATCCTTCCCATTACATGAAATCCCCCATAAGCATATCGTTTTCATCCAACTTGGCAAGTTCTTTCAAGTAATTTGCAAGTACCTTCTCGTTCAATAGGTGAGGACCATCTCCCACAAGTTTGATGTCCTCATCCCAATCGTCTGTCCAAAATCTCCCACGATCATGTACTTTTCATCGGATTTTTCAATTGCTTGTTTTCTACACATCAAATATTTTCGNTTACACATCAAATATTTTCGAAATCTCAGAAGTATCGGCAAGTGTAAACTAGTGTAAGAGAACAAACATTTCCTAGTAAAATGCACTGTGTAACAATTTTTACAACTTGGATATGCTCCAAGCATATCTTAACAATCCATATAGAGATGTGTCATTGCAACTTTTTTATTACTTTACCAATGTCAGAATTATGCATAAATATCTTAAAAGTACAACGAGAGAATACCAACACATGATAGATTAAAACTGTAGGGGGTTAATTACACGATATAAAAAGGAAAACAAAGAAAAGTAAATAACAAATAAAACCATAACAATTAAAAATAAAATAAACTAAGACTAAAAGCAAACAGTCCCCAGCAACGGCGCCAAAAACTTGTTGTTTTTTTTCTATCGCAAGTATACGATATCGTAACAAGTAATATAGTGGACTTTTGAGTCCGGATTATCGTTCCAACGAGAACTATACTTTAGACCTTAATTGGATTTTTCTAACTCCTATTCGATAAAAGCAAACAAAGAATTTTGATGGGTGAGATTATGTTTTACTAATTACTTTTAACTAACTGAAAATATCAAAATCTTGCAAACAACAATTGATTAAAGATTCAAATATATGATGAATATTAGGGAAAAACAATTTCATCTATTGATCACCTTAATTTTTAATTCAAGATTTTAACCTAATTAGTGTTCGGTCGAATTCATCTATTGTATTCAATTTACCCATCTCAAGTTCTCATTGAGCATATTTAACTAATTCAATTTCATATCTCTATGCGAATTACCCTTAGTTAAACAAAACACTAACTCTAAGAATTCATGTTATGACCGCAATAATTAGTATATGTATCTCTACATGTTATATTAATTTACCGGATGTTATTATATGATCTAAGTCTCAAACTCACCTCTGGATTCGTAAGATACCCGGATAATCATCAAATTACTGATCAGATAATTTAATGCATTAAACTCATTGTAAAACCAACACATATAAGAATAAATCACATAAATCTTGAATAGAAAAATAAAGGATCACAAGTCGACTACATTGTTTTCCCTAATCTGAAGTTTAGTCACTCATAATATAAAAATAAAAACTAAAAGTAATGGAATGCATCACCGAATTTTAATAAAGATGTAGAAACGAATTAAATCTTGCACCAAAATCTTCTTCAACTTCCAATCAATGCTTTAAACTCGAATTCCACAATGATTCTCTTCTATGAATTGGGCTATTCGATCTCTCATTGTATCCCCCTTTATCAATGTGTGGAACCCTTTATTAGTGCCTCCTTAAATCTATTTATACTTCCCTACACGTCCTTGGCTAGATTGGAGTCTTTTATGGGCTTCTCGTGACCCAATCAACAAAAACCCTAAAATAGGCGGTGCAGCGCCTAGGCGGCGCGATATGTGTCCAAGCAGCGCCTAGGCTCTATGGTGGCAGCGCTTCGCTGAAAATCTTCTGCATCCGATTCAGTATTTTTGGCATACCTTTTTCTCTCGATATCCGATTAAGGCGATTCAAAATATATTGGAAAGATAACTCAAAGAGTTACAACTTTACTGAAATAGATATTTTTTAATTCGAACGTTTACTATACCAAAATTGGGTCTCAATTTCCAACTAAAAATCTGGACATCCTTTTGCGGTTGAAAATTGATTTGTGAAAATATTTTGGTTATATTTTCACTCATTTTGACTTTTAATTGTATCCAATTGACCCTTAGTATTCTCAAATCTTCATCGTGAACTCTGACACAACCTTTGAATATTTGCAATTTAGCTCCTAAACTTTGGATCTTGCCATTTTCGCCAATTTTTCACTTATTTTCTCCAATTCTTCATCAAACATAAAGTTTTACCTATAAAGATGCAATATAACATAAATTAGGTAGCATTTTATCAAAATGAAAATAAAATATCACCATTTAGGATCTCGAATAAGTGATAGAAACTACAATTGTCACATCCATTAAGGCCCACACATGCTTATATTTAAAAAATGAAGAGAGTAAAATCTCATGAAATAGACTTAGAACAAGCCATGTTGAGATCAAATAAATTAGTTTGATATGCCTCCAAGGGCATGATGTAATGGTAAAACAAGTGAATTCTTTACTGAGTATTGGAGGTTTGAATCTTCGCGACAGTTGGATAGCAACATTTATGTTGGGAGGCTGATGTACTGTAAAAACAAAGTCATGGTGTGCTCTATCACCCCTCCGAGAGTCTCGTGTACACGTCGTAAAGGGGGTCCGTGGGGAGCATAACCGCTTTTCGAAGGTCTAGTCCAAGTACGTATGAGCTATGACTGCATCTAATTTATTCGAATAGCATACCAGAAGGTCATCACTCCTTGAAATTAGTCGGGCGAAATTTGAATACTCGAGTCATTAAAAAAAAAAAGGAAATTTTTTTTTTTGATGCACCTAAAAA